TCAGAGATCTTCCTGCCTTTGCCTCCTAAATGCTGTGATTAAAGGCTTGTGCCACCATGACTAGCAAGCCCTGCTTCTTTCTTCTTCCTAGCTGAGATTACAGATATACTACGCATAGGGTGCTGTGTATCAAACTCAGGGCCTGTGTCTGCTGGCAGGCCGGGCAGGCACTCTACCAAATGAACTCTATCCCAGGCCTGTTTGGTTGTTTGTTTAATGGAATGTATGGGTTTTCAGTGAGTTCACTTGAGCGAGGTGATGCTTGCTTCCTAGGACGTGGGGGAGTGGAGAGAAGAGGACAGCTTTCAGGAATTGCCTCTCCTTCCACCTCTTATGTCTTGGAGATCTCCCTCTAGTAGTCAGGTAGGGTGGTAGGGTGGTAGGGTGGTAGGTGCCTTTACCCCTTAAGTCGTCTTGCTAGTCTCTTGTTTACTTGAGGCAGGGTCTCATGTTCCTCAAGCTGGCATTAAACTCACTTTAGAAGCAAGGGTGACCTTGAACTCCTGATCTTCATGCCTCCATCTCTGCTTCTACTTTGTGGGTTCTGGGGATCAAACTAGCAAATGCCTTTATCCTCAGAGCCATCTTGATGACTCCAGTGTTTTGTACTTTGGACAGTTTTCTACAATTTAGGACTCAGTCTCTCTCTCTTCCTGAGACAAGAGCTCATTCTGTATCCCAGGCTGGCCTGGAACTCACTGTGTAGACCAAGGCTTTTCTTGAACTCACAGAGATCCACTTCCCTCTTCCTTCCAAGCGCTGGGATTAAAGGTGTGCACCACCATGCCTGATATCCAGTGTTTTATGTTTTGGATTGATTATTCATATCACAAAAATAATTTTAAAAGTAAATGAGGAGAAAAGGACTTCATACATTTGCTTCAGTGTTGTCAGAGAACTAGGGAAAGAGAGAGTTGCTAAAAAGGAATCTGATTTGCAGTTAAAGAGAAAAATCAAAGGTCTAGGCATGTTGTTCATTGGTAAAGCCCTTACCTAACATGTGCAAGGACTAGGTTCAGTGTCCAGCGTCAGAAAAATAAACTGCTCTGAGTGTTATAGACGTGCCTGCTGAAGTGGGGAGCTATTTTGCTGTTACTATGATAAAACACCATGACCAAGGCAACCTATAAAAGAAGGAATTTATTTGGGCATACTGTTCCATGATGGCAGAGTGGAGGCTTGGCAGCTGGAAACTGAGAGCTTACATCTTGGAACCCAAGCAGGAAGCAGAGAGAATGAACTCAGAATGGACAGAGTCCTTAAATTCTCAAAGTCTGCCTCAGGTGATAAGCTTCCTCCAACAAGGCTGCAATCCCCAAGCCTTCCCAAACACTGCCACCAGCTAGGGACCAAATATTCAAATGCCCAGAACTATGGAGGGCATCTCCTCCGAACCACCACAGGGTATCTTGCAGAGGCAGAGTTCTTACCTAGTATGCACAAGGTTTGAGATTTGATCCCTGAGTATCACACACTCAAATAAAAACAGCCAAATAATTAGTTTTCCAACTGGACATGGTAGACAAAGGAGAGAAATGTTAGAGACAATTCCTAGGATTTAATAAACTCATGAAAGGGCTTTGTATTACTCAGGATTCT